CAGGTAAACAAAGGAAGACAGACATTCAGTATTAGCCTGTAAATCACTCTCTGCAACAGCAGTTTCTTCATATGGATGTTTAATAAACAGGGATCATCGCTCAGTTCAGCACACATCATCAGCTACATAACAGCCCGACACCAACATGACGGCACACGGGTTCAAGTACTGGAGAGGGTTAAGAGGATGTTACACTGCAGTCCATAGGTGTGGTTGTTCTCAGGCAAATATTTAGTTTTATCTAAAGAACAAAATATATTCCGTCCTGCTTTAGCTTGGAGGTGAATGCCAGTGGTGCAATCATGACCTGTGATGTGGTCCCTCTGAGGTTCAGCTGGTCAACTAACTACATCCAAGGCTGACGAGTATAAGGCTGAATCAAGACGCTGAAAACTCACATGGCACTGCAACCACCTGGCCCCACATCTGATTATGTCTCATTTCTACTTCTGTTTGACGGTGTTGACAGCTACAAGTCTTGATTTTATTATTTTTGAGCTACTACTTTGTGAGAAGGCGGCATACAGAGAACAAAGTACAGAAAATCTGAACTCTTGCACGGTAAGACGCATTTTGGCAGTTTTTTCTGATTTATAATTAAAGCATAATGGAAAGATAAGTACATAGGATATATGCACCACAAACGATTTGTCAATACCAGCCTTGAAGTTATCATAATTCATAAAGCTCATTGTTTATCTAACTCTGTCTTTGTGGTCCACTCTTACTGCCGTTGTAGCATTATTTTCAGCTACAGCAGGCAGCTGATTTCAGAGGAGAAAGCTCTGAAGTGTATTGACCTCCTTAGTACCAAAGACCACACAGAGACATTTAAAGACCAGCTTTTAAAAGTAGTGGAAAATTTAGCAGCAAAAGACACGAGAGAATGAACATGGGTAAGAAGCAGGAATAATAAGGCCCCATGAATGTGTCTGTATCAGCTAATCACCTAAACAATGTGCTGGAGAACTCGAGTCAGACTTACTATAGTTTTGTATCTGTAAAAGTACAGAATATCACATCAGTTAATTTTTATTCTTCAGAAGTCTACCTTTTACTTATTATTCTTTTATTTAAACCTATAATGCTAAACTATAATAACCCAGACTCAGGTTTCTTGTGGGTATTTGTTGAGAAGTCTGATTCAGCGGTTTGTTCAGTTTAGACAACAAACATCATTTTTAGTTGTTGTAATGTGGGATTCTTTTCTAAGCTGCTAAATGTGACATTCACATATACCAACAGCGCTCCTGTTTATCTGCCAGCTTGAGATCAGTAAATTTTAAATATTTAGAAGCAGTTAAAAGAAGTCCTCAGCCTCATTAGTGCAGTAAGCAGCAGAGGTAGATAATAAACCCAAATCAACACCTGCAGCCGGTTTATTAGATAAACCGAGTTCACTGCGGTTTGTAATTTGCACTCATTTGTTCAGATTATTAGTCCCAGTGCCTGATAGTGTTCCCGTACATTTACATATTCAAACTGGAGGTATCGTATCTAACCAGTTCCTCTGAGCAGCAGGTAGACAGCAGAGATGGTGATGGCAGTGGCGGTGTAGGCAAACACTGCATTATAAAGATTGGTGGTCCTGATTTGTTCTCCCAGAGTCCTCTGAGTCTCCTCCAGACTCCTCACCACTGCCTCAGACTCAGCTCTCTCTGGTCTCTCATGTAGCAGCTGACCAGCTTGTGTCTGAAGCTGTGGTTTGGTCTCCAGCAGCTTCCTCACGGTTGACACTTCACTTTCAACTTTCCCAAGCCCTCGTTCCAGTTGTCCCAGTTTTGGTGGCAGGGACTCTAAGAGGGACTCGGTCCTTTTGCTTCCTGTGTGGAGATCTTTTAAGGCTGAAACAGACGCAGAGGGCGAGTGTGGGGCTGTGCCTTCTTTGTCCTGGCGAACAGCTCTCCTCTGTGCGAAGGTTTCACTCAGAGCAACTCTGAGACTGTCAATGAGCGTTCGGAGCTCGTCCTGCTGGGAGCGATGGTTTCCAGCCTGGATTTTCAGGGCTTCCTGTAGGCTCTCTGGACCTTTCTGGGCCTCCAGCAGCAGATTCTTCAGCTCCTGCAGAGGAGAAAAGAGAACGTATATGAGATGAAATAACTGCTGTCTTGGTGAGGATCAGATAAAGGCAAGTGTTAATTACAGATGGGTGACATATTAAAGGAAAAACCTACATTAAGGAGGCTAGTCCAGTCATTTTTCTAACTTAACCTGTTTTTAAGTCCAAAATTGGCCTCATGAAGGCTCTCTTAAAGGAACATGGCAGTAGGTTTTGCATGGCAAACCTTCCAGAAACAGGAACTACAGTGCTATTGGGTATGGGTATAGTTCCTGAGAAAGTCCACCACTTACTCCGTTTCACTCGCACTTTCAACAACGCTTGTGAACTGTTCTCATTCATCTTTTTCATTTTCTTATTTTGTTGTTGGCATTTATAACAGTAAAGCTAAAAACATTAATAAAAAATATGAGACACTTTTCAAAAACAGGTACAAAGCTTCACATTGTTGTTAGTGTTTAGTAAGACCCAGAGTTTAGGGGAGGGTGTTGGAACAGTGCCAGTGCAGTTGCTTCAGTTAAAAAAAAAAAATCGGTACACTGAATGAGGTCCCCTAGTGTAGCACCCCTCTTCACCTGCAGGCGGACTCGGTTCACGTATGTTGACCCCATGACTCCAATCAGGGCTCCGAGCACCGAGCCAATGATGGACCAGTTCTTGGTGCGTTCCGCTCTCGTCCTCTCCTTCTCGTGGCTTCCTCTAACGGCCGCAGAAAATAAAGCAAACTTCTCCCTCTCTGAACCCTCTGCGTTCTCGTACGCTGTCCGGAGGCGGCGCTCCTCCTGCAGTGACAGAGAGGTGGGGTTAAATTCAATCTTCTTATCCGACATCATTAACCTCCTAGGACCTGGCGTGATATCCACTTACGAGGAAACTATCGAAACTTTGAACGAATGTCCTCATATGTGGCTCTCATTTTTCTTAGAAACCAAAATCAGGTAAAAAATAAAAATAAAAATCTGGTAATTCTTTGTTCTTTCATTCATTGGGTCCCAATACGCCCAAACATCAAAGAGTAATTAAAAATGCATGCCATGGAAGAGTTCGGGTCTTAGGAGATTAATGATGTATGATTGCATAATGTGAACTGTGGTTAACTCAAAATAAAAGTACTTCCACTTCCTCTACTGACCTTAAACCAACTACAAAACCTAAACCAACAGTTGATGGACCACATGTTGTTATGGAAGTCTTGACCTCAATTAAAAATAAATTAAAGATTTGTTTTTAAATCCATGCCTACTAGTCTCCAACAAACCAGTGATACCCACAGTACGGTATTTAATTTTATTTCTTGTCACTCATGGCAGTAAAGTGAATCTCTGTGGTTTTTGGACTGTCTGTGAGATTTTGGTTTGTTTTAAACAAACCATCTGAAAAACAAATTACAACAAAAGCGACATGAAATTTAAGACATTTCATTTTTAATGACTCAAGGACATGGGTTTTGTGTATTTTAATAGCTTCAGCTCACTTGTAGGAGTTTGTGCTCCATTGTGGCCAGTTCCAGGTAGTGTGGCTCCTCCCTTGAGACTCTGTCCAGTCGGTCTCTGGTCTCCTTCAGCCTGCCCTGCTGAGCCTCCAGGCTAGCATGAGCCTCACGAACTATCCCTCTGGCCACCATGAATGCTGCCTCAGCCTGGAAAATACAAAGATCTGTCAGAGAACTGTATAACAAGCACCTGACATTCCTTATTCATTATCCACTAAGTCATGTCGGCACAGACTAAACTTGGACGCCGTGTTTTTACTGACCTCAGTGACCTTTGTCTGAGCCTCGCGGACCTCATTCAGCCCCACAAACTCCTCGTACTTCTCCCACCAGTGGTTTACTGTGGCAGTGGCTGCTTGAGCCGACCTCTGACTCCACTGCCGCCCAAACTCACCTGCATGCTTAAAGATAAAGAGAAGAGAGAAAAAGGATGACAGTGTTCAAATTTGTTTCATTGTGTTTTGAAGTTCTGTTGTTCCAGTAAGAAGAAGATCATTTTTGTACCCGTAAGACAGTCAAGGCACGCTCCTTCAGAAGCTCTGATCCCTTTTTCCTTTCAGAAGGGGAAGGCTTGTTTGGAGGTGGTGGTGGTGATGAACCAGGCTGATGGAGAGCACTGTAGGTTCGTACCTGAGTGAGTTTGCCAGGCAGTGAGTAGCGGGACAGACAGCATGAGCCATGAACCCAGAGATAGATCTGAGCCCCTCTGTACCTGACAGAGTAAAGATAACATTAACCAGTTATATTTACAATCACAAATACAGATACAATGCTCACACCAGTACCTCATTGAGCAGAGCAGCAGCAGTACAGGTTAAGAATAGTCAGAGATTGACCGTCACAGCAGCCAACACTGGAACAGGCACCTGGGAGATTAAAGGGAAAACAATTTAATTTGATTAGCTGTCAGCTTTATAAGATTTGTGGCATCTTGCATAAGGCAGTCCGCAGGGGGTGTGCTGTTGTAGAAGACAGACCATCTAGTAATATGGAGCTTCTTCAGATAACTTTTAAACCTCCCAGATATCCTGCTTAGTAGTAGTGGTTATAGGCACGCTTTCAAAGGCAATTCAGGCACAGTGAGAGCTAGTCTGCCAATAATAAGTCAAACTCGTTCCCGGTGGGTGCAGGACCTCACGAGCACTGCACTTTGTCACAGATTCGGTTCAAAAAATGTCTGGATATCCTTTTAAATATATCAAGAGTACTTTTCCACCAAGGTTACCTACTTCCTAGCTAGCTAGATGTTGCTTCATGTAGCTACCGGCTAGCTGACTTTTCACAAGTTTTAAACTGTTTTGGGACTCTGGTGATACTGTTATGTACAAAGCGATATAACAGAGTAAACATACCCGTTTTCTTCAATTATGTCAGCGGACGCATAAGACACGAATTACGTTTCTTTAGGGTAACAGCATTTTAGCATATTGATGTCAAGAATTTTCTTTGAGACAGGCAACAAGCGGTCATTCTATTTCCGGTTCAACGGGGACCTAACAGCGCGGATTAGCAAGAAGTACCAGTTGTCTTCGCAGCAAACTTTCCTTTCCTTTAAATTTTATAACAAGCTGTAACCATGTCTGGAAGAGAAGGTGGGAGATTGCTTCATTTGAGATTCGTCTGTAAAATCTGCACATCTTAAAAGATACTGACGATTTTCAGTTTAGCACGTTTATAGTGGGCTAATGCTAGCTGCCGCTAAAGATAACGTTTTCTCTGACCAATCGGCAGTTAAAATGTGCCATATTACGATTTTTTTTTCTGTTTTGGGATATACATACGGAAGATAGAAGATATTTTCAGGCCATTTTTAAATTATTGGGACCGAATGGACCATTCGGCTTATAAATATTCTCTCAGGCAACAGACAATATAAACGAAATCTTTAAAATTTTAAATATATTTCTTCTTCTTTCTTCGAATAACCCGTGGTGGTAACTAACGTTTGTATTCTCCCATTTAAGTTAAAGCAGATTTTAGGGAGTTTAGGTTAATTTTTTTCCAAGCAAACAATAAAAAAAAGTCAAGAACCCTGTGTTGACGTAATGACGTAACTTGGATCATATTCCTTCGTATATTTCATTTTTATTCACTGACTATTGTTTATTAGATATTGTAGATTTGGTTATATTTTCTATTTTATTTTCATAACAAGGTAATGAAGATTGTCTAAACTTAGTCAATTTATTTTAAAGAGAAACGTTCAGATATTGTAGTGTCTTTTACTTATACTTTTACTTTGTGGATCTGTTCTTTAAATACGTTTGCCTAGCTTAGGTTTTCATATTTTGTATCTACTTATTGTATTATTTATTAATTTACTTTTATAGTTCTAAGTTTCATTTTGCTGTCACTGTATTTATGTATCTATGTAAATTTTATTTCTCAGGAGGTAAAAAGAAACCACTGAAGGCTCCCAAGAAACAGAACAAGGACATGGATGACGTATGTATCTGGCTCTTTTCCCCCCTCACCATAGACTGTGTAAAACATTTAATATCAAGCCTCTAAATCATTTGCATCCCTTTGTAATCAAGATAACATGGATAAGAAGACATTTACATTGCATCATTGCAATATTTTATACATTTCGTTTTTGTTTATTTTTTAAAGTAAAGCTGTTTTCACAGATAATTTGATACATAAACTTTGATGTATGGATCATTTCGCTAACCCTTTCTGTTTTTTGTGATCTACTTTGTCATTTAATTCTGCTTTAGTAACCTGTATTAATGCCCATTGAAAATTAGAACTGGTGATAAAATTGTATTCCTTAACTTGTTGATAACAAAATCAAATCAAATCATGTCATTGTGTTACACAACCCAGTGCGATGTCTTCAGGTGTCAGCTGAGAATCTGATAAATGGAAATCAGATGAAATATTAATTTTTGTTATTTGACTGAAGGGAAGAAATATTCAGAGGTAAATGTCAGCTGTGGCTTGGAATGAGCTGAGCATAAGACAGAAGCGTAGAAAGATTTTAAATTGTATGTGTCTCCGTAGGATGATGTAGCCTTCAAGCAGAAGCAGAAGGAAGAACAGAAGGCCCTGGATGCGTTGAAAGCCAAAGCATCAGGAAAAGGACCTTTAAGTAAGAGCTGTGTTTATATTTTTAGTTTGTATTTGTAAAGAACTATTCACAAAAACAAGAAGTGAAGAAATGCACCAGATTTATGTACTCCCGCAACTACTGCTACACTGCTCCGTGATCAGGTGCACACAGGAGTGATAAAATGCAAAATACATACTCAAAGCACAAGTTACAAGTGGAGTAATATAATACATGAATAATACCAATAATACCTGAAAACCTCCAGCCCCAGTCCCAC